GGAGAAGATGATTCCTTCTTTTATTAATAATATATATATAGGAGCTAAATTACACTATCACCTCAGATAATAATAATAACTAATACACAGGCTGGATACTTAGAAAGATATGTGGACGCATCGTTAATAATTTAAGAGTATTTACTCTAACCTCTTAACTCCTACATTTGCTATGTTTTTATTAGTTCTCTCTGAGATATTATAACCTGACAGATATTCCTATACAACATCCACACGTTGTACTAATTCTCGATTCTACTCTAACTGATCCGACTGAGGAGGGGAGTAGGAGAATAATTGCAAGTTCCCAGCCAGGAGCCCCCAGCGTTGTGCGTCTTCCAATGTGCCGTAACGAGCCTGGGAGCCGGCCAACAGCACACTCTGTGTGGTCGGTGTTCGGGTCTGCTGTCTGGTGTGTGTTTTAGTGCTTTTTGGGAGGGGAGTTTATGCTATAGCAGCACGCTGTAAGTGCTCATGAGCGAGACATAAGGGAGTCGATGGAAGACCAACAACACACACACCACAACCACAACTACACACACCAGTCACCAGGCTGCAAAATACCACCAATAGACCAAACGCTACAAAACCATAAACTCCCAAGAGAGAAAAGAGGAGGAAGGAGGAGAAGGAGTCTCACCCGCCCTTCTGTGCAGCTAAAAACAAAAGTGCACAAATCAGACGAGGAGAATCCACATTTGCTCTGTTTTTCCCTGAACATTCCAGCTCTCCTCACTGCTCCGTCTCTTCCCAGCACGCAGAAGAAGCCCTTACAGCTAACATTTGCTCTCATCCCTCTGTCCGTATATTATCACGCATATCAATCCAACGTCTATACTCAAATAGAATGATCAGCAGGGGGATTTTGAAAGTTTCTCTATATTTCCACTCTCTGTGTGTCTTTCCTTCGGCGCCCCTTTCTTCTCTGTCTTTCGGCGTGTTGCTTTACAGCCCGTTTAGTTCTTTAACCTTAGAAATTTAACGCTATAAACTTGTTATTGCGTCATATTCTTTTTATTGGCCCGCTCGCATTGATTCTTCTCCTCCTCTCCTCTCTTTTCCGTCTTCCTCTTTGCTGTTTTTGTTTACCGACAGTCGGCGGCGTTCTTCCAACCCGCAACGCTGCCGCTCCGCATCTCTCATCACCCACCCGCCCCCTCCTCTTTTTATTTCTTTTTTTTTACCCGTGAGCTACGAGACCTGACCCGGTGGTGCAGCACATCTGCTCCTCTCGTCGTTTGTTTCCGCGTTTGAAATAGAAAGTGTAGCAAAATCATGACGTGAGAAAAGAATAAAGGAGGACGAGGAGGAGAGACAAGCGCGGACTTTATTGGTCCACAGGAGGAAATACTATCTAGATTTTTCTTTTTCTAAGCAAAGTCAAATATATGAAAACAAACTGACGCCTGCTCTGACCGGCGGAGTCCACTTGTGTTCTTACATTACAGAAGAAATAGAGTCAGAAGCCTCATCTTTCCTGTGAAGCTCACCAGGCGACTCGCTGCAGAAATCAACCGTCGGAGATTGTGTGGGCTTTTGAAACACAACTAACTGTGAAATGCAGATGGAGTGAATCATTTGTA